GCTACCATGTATTATCAAGATTCATTGAACTGCATGCTTAAGAGTTGTACATTTCATGATTTATAAATTTTACCTCAACAACAAAAAATGAAGCTTTAAGTAAATACTGCACTCTAATTAGCAGACTTGCTTTACTTGTTTGCTTTATCAGTTATAAAATTAATTTCCTGTGTCTTTTTGTAATATATAATTTTATTTTTTTATTTTTTATTTTTGCATAGAAGAACTGGGGTGCAGGCCAAAGGTTGGGGGGTGAGAGGGTATGCAGGAGAGAAGAGTCACCAGAGATAGAGTGGGAGCAGAACAGGCAGATCTATTGAAATATACTGCTGAAGGGAGCAGCAGGAGAGACAGGAGAGGTCTGCTGCACTGTGTGGGTTACCGCTCTGGCAGGAGATTGAACTCAAACCACAGAGGTAATAGCACTGAGACTTAACCCGTAGGCCACCAGGGAGGCCCTCCTCTGTTTTCTATATGTGAACAATTACACAAATACTTTAAGTATAATGCAACTCTGGGGTCTCATTCTTGTAAAATTATGTAGACTTCTTACTCATAACTGAGTCTACTAATAGGCACAAAGCAATGACACACAAATAGCAACAATACCTGTGATCAGATCTTGTTTTCTTAATACCATTCTTCACTACAAGGAACCAGTTGGAGAAATGACTGACTGTAGTGTAAGGAAAGTACAAGATAAATAGGTAATATCCATGTGCCCAAAAGTAAACAGTTGGTGAGGGCAACTGTTTTTATTTTTTTTTTATGATCCAGTAGGACCATAAAGGGGCTCCTATTGGCAGTTCAACAGTGGCCCACACCCTCCAGCACTTTTTTTCTTACCTCAACAGTGGGTTACATTTTCCTGTGGCAGAAACCACACCATCTCATCAGAGTTCTGAATCTTTAACCCTGTGGTTGAGGAAGGGAGGATTGCCTTTAATTTTCTAAGTTACTTCCTTCTTAACTCTTTCAGTCTGAGGAGGGCCTAACTGCTTGTTGTAGTTGCCACTTCCATATAATTTCTGAATACTTTTAATTCCCTTTTAATAATTTTTTTAACTACAAAAACAATGTAGAATTTCTTAAAATCACTGGTGTGCTACAGGTGCCTTGATAGTGGGTGTAGTGTGGCAACATACATCTGAAGAGATGTGGTCCTACATCTCTAAATCGTAGAGTTTGGTAAACCAATGTTACCTCAATTTTAAAAAACCACCCAGAAAGGGGTGTTTTTGTTATGTTAATCAAAGTATCTATGTAGAACTAAAAAAAAAATCACTATATGGACTATTCTGACTGGACACATCACTCTTATTCCTATCAAAAATGTACACCTAGGGCCTCCCAGGTGATGCAAGGGGTTAAGCACAGCACTATGAAGCTATCTGCAGCCACTGCAGCACATTTTCGATCCCTGGCCAGCCAGGGAGCTACCCACATCGTGCAGCAGACCTCTCCTGACTTGCCTGCTGCTCCCCTCAGCAGTGTATTTCAGTCAATGTGTCTGTTCTGTTCCCCACTCTGTCTCTGGTGAATTCTTTCACCCCCCCATACCACTGGCCTGTACCCCAGTTGTTGTGCATAAATAAACAAATCTCTAAAAAAAAAAAAAGTACACCTACATATAATTATGAGGAAACATCAGACAAATTAAAAATGACAGCCATTTTACAAAAAAGTGACCCATATTTATTTTTCAAATTTTCATGGTCAAATAAAATAAGATAATGAAAAGTCTATGTATTCACAGTATTCTGTGGGTGGGGAATGGGAAGTAATTATAAAGAATATTTATTTGGACAGTTGATAAATTTTGAATATGGATTAGTTAATAATATATCAATGTTACAGTTCTTTATTTGAATAATTACACTGTAGTAATGTAAGAGAATATATTTTTTCTTAGGAAATACATACTGTAGCACTTAATGGTTACGGGGAAGTCAAATTGTTCCAAAAAAAGAGCTTGTGTAGGGGAGACTAATAAAGCAAATGGGCAGCATGTAAACAATTGGAAAGTCTAGGTACACTGTAATGAGTTCTTTGTATTCTTGCATCTTTCCTAAAACTGTTAACTTATATTAAAATTGAAAATAACCAAAAACAAAAAAATATATTTGGCCCTTGAAATATGTCACTGGATCATTTTGAAAGGAAGGCATCAATTTAAATCTACACTATGGGGCCTGAATACTGACATGATAATTTAATGGCTACAGGACCCAGGGTCGGTTACTTATCCTGTCTGTTTAATTTACTCACCGGCACATAAAAGTTCAAAATTGAACCTGGTTCAACTTGGTAAATTGAACACATGTAGCAAAGGATAGAGAGCTATCAAACACATTTCAAAAGATCTCTGAGGTGATTAGAAATCATGAGCAAGGAGGTTGTATTTGACACTGAACCAACATACAGACTAAAGCTGTTGAGAGGTTAAAAACAAACAAACAAGCAAACAAATTCCACAAAACTCCCAACTCAGAGTCAACAAAGGGCTGGGGCAATTATCAAAGCAACAAAATGAAGAACTCACAATATCTAGATTAGCCAAGAATCTGCCCCTACTCTGCTTACACAAACAGGAGCCATTCTCACATTTGAGTTTAGGACAAAAACTCCTAGAACTGCATTCTAAACAAAGTAAGTAACTGATCTTGTTGGTAGGAGGGTGTGGGAATGGAAATAGTGTGGGAGGCTTCCTTGTCAAAGATGAAGCTAGATAAGAAAAGAACAGAAAGGAACTTCTGGTTTGAACTTCTGGCCCTGGCAAGAAACTTGAGGTCAGGTCTCTGAGGTGTGAGTTGTCACACAGAAAACCCCCAGAATGGAGATGAAGCCTGAAAAGCAGGGAAGCCACCCAGAGCAAAAGATGGAAAAAGAAACACTCCCACATTCCTACTTGTACAGAAAACAAGGTAAGTAACCTACTGGACTGTATGTCTGCTTCCAGAAATGCATACTTTCAGCACAATGCCGCTCTCCACGCCAGAATGAAGAGGCAAGATTCCTGAAATCAACACATGAAGCATTCCAAACTTTACAAAAAATTTGAATTCACCAATATATGAACATCAGTTCTAGAATGGAAATTCTCATTTTAACAGAGTGTTGATTTTTTCCGCTCTTTTACAGGTTGTAAAACCTGTAACTGTGTAATTGCTCGGTAAAAATTTGTTGAATGAGTTGAGAAAACCAAGTTAACAGAAATAACTTAAATGCCCAACTGGTTAAGCAGCAGTCCATAAAGCTAAATGTTATATAAACTTTTAAAAGTTTATCCATAACGTTAATGATATGGAGAAATAGTTGATATATTAAATTGTTTTTAAAAGACAAGGAATAGTGACATTCATAAAGGAAATACACAACCTCTTGGTGAGTTTACCGGTTTTTGTTTTGTTTGCTGATCACAAATTACTTATAACAGAAAGAATATAAATTTTTATTTTTCATTTCTTTGAGGGCACATCTAAATCCAACCCGGATATGATTACCACCTAGTCTGAACTGAACATACCAATCAGTAAACAAATGCAGAATTCCATACAGTGGTTAAAATGCAGTGCTTGGGAAGGACTCTGGAGAACAGGCCTACAAAACTAACTTGCCAAATCTATGGAACCTGAATACTGACTCCATGACTGAATAACTATGGACCCAGGATGAGTTACTTATCCTCAGTATGCTTTCATTTACTTGAGTATAAAAGTGGAATAAGAAGACACCTCTTCCTTAAGAGTGATATGAAGAGTATATGAATTAAAACTCATTTAAAGTACTTACAGCCGTGCTGGGCTGTAGAGCTATGAAAGTGTTTGTTTCGATCGCTATTGGAATCAGAACATCTGCTTTCATGAGGACACATCAAATGGAGGCCCTGTTGGAGAAAAGAAGAGGCACACCCAAGAACACCATAGCAGGCAACCCCCCTGAAATCCAGATAAAGCCAGGTCGAGCCAAGGAGCAGTAAACAGGGGAAGGAGTGATTAATTCTGAAGAGAGAGCATCTGAAGAGAAAGTCACAGGAACAATAAACTGCATTTGAACTTCCACAGACAGCTAATAAGAAAGACACCAGGGAAATTGCAAAGAATCTTAGCAAAGGCACAGAGACAAAAATTGCATTGCTCCTTCTCCAGGCGAACAGACTGCAGACAGGATGGTTGAGGCGTGATGCAGAAGAAACCTCTGGTGAACAGAGAGTAGGATGCTGCAAAATGCCACTAGAGCAGGATCAAGATTACAATAAAGTTAACGATACACCCCAAGGGGTATTTCCCAGGGGGACTTTTCAACATCAGGATGTCCAGCCCCTTTCGAAACTGTAGAGAGTAAAAGAAGAGCAAAGGTGGTAAGAAAGCCAGGACGAGGACAGCCCTAAAGCTCTCTGCTACCGGACCTCTCTGGTGGTGCAAGCTGTCAAGCACCACACTATGAAGGAATCTGCAGCCTCTGCAGTGCGGCTTCCATCCTGGCAGGCCCTGGAGATACCCACATGGCGCGGCAGATCTCCGTCTCGCCCGCTGCTCCCCTCAGCAGTATATTTCAGTGAGTCTGCCTGTTCTGCTGCCCACTCTGTCTCTGGTGGATCCTCTAACACCCCCCCCCCATCTCTGGCCTGTACCCCAGCTCTTGTGTGTATAAATAATCTTTAAAAAAAAATAAAAATAGGGGCCTCCCCAGTGGCGCAGCGGTTGAGCGCTGGGTTGCGACGCTGCCCGCAGCCTCTGCAGCGCCGGTTCGATCCCCGGCTGCTCCCCGGCCACCAGAGGAGGGTCCCACATGGCGCGCAGACCTCTCCTGCCGCCCGCTGCTCCCCTCAGCAGTGTACTTCGGTCCTTCTGCCTGCTCTGCTCCCCGCTCTGGCTCTGGTGAATTCTCTCACCCTCCCGCGCTTCTGATTGTACCCAGTGCTTGTATAAATAAATAAATAAATCTTAAAAAACAAAAAAATTAAAAAATAAACAAATAGCAAAGCTCTCTGCTACCACCTAGGTGCCATCGCAGGAGCGCGCGCGACTCGGGGCCGCCGGCGGGGAAACAGCGCCTCTCGCAGGCCGCGAGCGATCTGGACCGGTCCTGGGGGCAGGCGCCCTCTCGTGAGAACTACAACTCCCGGGGAGGCCGGAGGGACAGGCCCCTTCCGTCCCCTCGGCTTCCGCCGCCCGCCGTCACCTGCCCCGGGGCGGGCCGGGCGCGTGGCCGCACGTGACCCCGCGCGACGGCGTCCCCCAAGCCGAGGCGCTCGGAGGCGGGGCCCCGGAACCCCATTGGTAGAAAGACGACCCGAGAAGGTGGGACGAAACTTAAAATCTGAGGAGTGATTGGACTTGATGGAACAAGGGCGTGGCTAAGCACTGACCAATCAGCGCCTGAGGTTGCCGGGGAGGCGGAGCAGGGGAGAAGGGGCGAGATGGCTCCGTGGTCACATGCCGCGGGGTCTGGTGGGAGGAGCGGTTGCCCAGCGGCCTCCTGGTGCTTCCTGTTTCCGGTTCCAGGCGCGTTGCACCGAGAGGCGCCTGGGGAACGCTGGCCTCTCACACGAGCTTTGGGACCGGGGTCTGCGGCGGGCCGCTCGCTGGCCCCGTCTCCCTGCCCCGATCGGACAGCCCCCCGGGGGTTCTGAGCCTGGGCCACCGCCGCTGCCCACGACACGTGAGTGCGAGGGGCGTGGAGGAGGAGGGGGCTGGGGAGCGCACACCTCCGCGCCCGTGACAGGCGCGGGGCTCGCGGCTGCCCCTCGGCCGCGGGTCCGGCTCGGGAGCCCAGCCGGATGCGCGCGGAGCCGGGAGGGCGGGAGTCAGAGCCGCCGAGGGGGCAGGGCCAGAGGGGGGGTGCGTGTTTGGGAAGGAGGGGAAGGTCCCCAGGTGTGGAGCCCGCGTGGGTGTTACTCTCGGAGGAGTTGGGCCTGCGTGTGGAGGGCGGTGAAGTGGCATCCGTGCAGAGGCTCGTGGCCCTGAGAAGTTGGGAAGGCAGGAGACCTGGCTGCACGGGAGTTCCGAGAGCCCTGCACAAGGTTTCAGGGAGATGGGCGCGTGCGGTGGCTTCAGGAGAGCCGCTTAGAGGAATTATCCCTCTTTGTCGGGAGCGTCCGTTCTTGGAACTTAGAACTACTTATCGGAGACTTCTCAGCATGGAGCCTTTTAGCTAATTAGGGCTCCTCTTCTGCAAGCGTGGGCTGCTGCAGACAGGAGATAATGTTACATCAGAAATGAGCCCGAGAGAAGAAAGTAAAAATTCCATTGAGAAAACCAATAAAAAATCCATTGAGACATGGAAAATATCCATAGCTGGTCTCGAGGGGATGGCAGAGTGAGTGGGCAGAGGTCCAGTAATATCAACGGTCCCATTTCTTGGCTTATCATAGTTCACCCCAGTGAAGGAGAAATTTTTAACGTTACCAAATAGAACTGACATGATAGGATAAGAAATGGAAGGGGATTTTTCCTGATCAGCAAGTCCTGCCCCTTTTTTCCAAAGTGTCTAGACAAACCCTTGTGACGGAAGTGATTGTAAAACACTGAAAGGGGCTGCCAACCCTTGCATATCCCGCTCTTCCTAATACATTGTTGAATTACGGTATTTATCACAAATTAGTCAGCAGGTATCTCTGTGCCATGAATCGTAGCAGTTGCCCTATTAACTTTATACACATTTAGTACTTGCATAACCTCGGGCAAGTAACTTAACCTCTGTAAGCAGCAATTTCCTTATTTGTAAAATGGGGGGAAATTATATCCACTTTTGTGTTGTGAAGAGCTGTAAACATAATCCAGACAAAGCATTCAAAGCATGTTACACTGAATTAAAGAAAAGCAACTCAAACATACAGTATAGCCTAATGCTCTGCAGAAAAGCAGGGAGGATATAATGTATTCTCATCCTAACCAATAAGCAAATGCAAGTGGTTCAGTTCAGCTAATACTGATCATTTTGTAAGATTCTTTGTTCGAATTTGGGGAAAGAAATCAACTGTTAATAGATAAACTGACTTCTCAGCCAAAGAACACAGCCTTCTGTGTGAGCATCCCTTCAAAAAACTGCTCTTAGGGAAGCAAATCTTGAAAGCCCAGAATGTTGAAACTGTAAATTTGGTCATGAGAGAGTATAAGGAAAGGGCATGATGATAAATCAATCTAATAAGAGGCTCTTATTTCATTTTAGTAAACTCAGCCAGTCAAGTTGTATGCTGAGCAATGAGTTTATTTAGGGAAGGTGGGAATTTGAGGACTGAGTTCTTTATTCCATCTCCCTTTCAGTCAACTGTGTGAGGAATCACTTCCTTTTTTTTTTTTTTCTTGCTTTGTCAAAAAGAAAGCAAAGCTTTGGCTGCCAGCCTTCCTCTCTGCCCTTCCCCCCACCCCCAATTAATGTGAGAGGAGATATACATGTGGCAGTTAAGTGGAGCTTATGAGCTCTGGAGCCACACCATTTCACTGCATTAGCTGCGTCTGTTCCCTCATCTGTAAATTGGAGACACTAATTGTACTTACTGTGTAGGGAGGGTTAATGGGTTAATACAGTGAGTGCTATGAACAGTACCTGGTGGGGGACAGGAGCTCTGTTGTTTGCCTTGGTTGTGGTTTTAGTGTCTTAAGTGAGTTTAGGGGGGGCCTCAGCCCTTAGGACTGTGTGTTAATACTCTAGGAAGCACTTTATGAATATTTCTGTAATGAATTGGTATTCTGAGGACACAAAGTTAGGGAGACAGCATCCCAAGCATTTGTGGCCCTAGGAGAAACGTGGGAAACAGGCAAATGTTAGTGTGTGTGGAAAACTCACTCAGGGATCAGTCCTTTCGTTTTCCTGTCTTTGAACTTCTCTGTGCCCATTAAATCCTGCCTGTTTCAAGTTTTATATCATAAAGGTGCAATGGAGTCAGTGGGCCAGCATGAAAAAGAGGACAGTAAACAGTGCTTGAGTCCAAGTCCAGACTTGTAGTGTGGAAGTTTAGAAATGAGAAAAGTTGAGAAGAGTAAGATCTTCATATCAGGAAGATTAGTGACACTGTTAGGAAACTGACAAGTAGCAAGGGACCCTGGAGTGAAGTGTTTTGTAAGGGTAACTCAGTGTGTGTCCTGCGTATGAGGATGGATCAGAGAACATGAAATGAGCTTAGGAAACGGAGCCGTGTACTCCATTCCTCGAGCAGTACAAGCAGAGGGGGCAAGCACTGGACTTACTAGCCTGTGTAGTGTCTTGGGGATTCCCAAAGGTCATGGGTATTGGGAGAGTAGAAAAGACAACAGTACTTACTGGAAATCTAGAAGCCCTTGAGACATGTGACTTGAGAAGCCTGACAGGAAAGACTTCAAACTGCTTCTTTTGACCTAGTGAATTTTCTTCCCATAACTTAAATGATTGGATGATTTTGCAGAGAATTTGAGACATTAAAGTAGTTAACATGGCACGGTGGCCAAGTTTATCCTATTCGGCATTCTTATTGGGTGGTTATACTCCCATTGGACTTTTGGGTGCTCCTGAATACTGATAATGACATTAGAGCCCGAAGTCTTCACGTTATCATTCTCTATTTTATATCTTTCTTACTAATTTCCAACGTGGTAAGTTGTAATTTGAGAGTTTTCCTAGGAGAGCCACTGGTGTAAACTGTATTTATGAACTAGTATTGAGCTTTAGATAATGAAATAGCTCAATCTAACTTTTCAACAAACAGTAAAGAGACCAGGATGTCTGATCTCCCTATGGGGGTAGGCCGTCATAATTCAGTAATTATTTTTTGTTCTTTCCCTCTGCTCACCTCCATAGTTTGCTATGAAAGCGTCACCTTGAATTAAACTGAAAGCTCTCTCTTATCTATGAGTTTCCTGGTGCAGTTGCTCTAGCACAGAGATATTAAAATGTACTATTTTCTCCATATGCCAAAGAATCATAGATTCTGCATAATCAAAATTCTGCTGATTTATTACCCATTCCTGTACTTTAACTCTCCTTTCTTTTGATTCTTTCCCCTTTCCCAACACGCACACTCTCCCAAAAGGATGCTCCCCTTCTACAACTGCTGGAGGACTGGACTGCTGCTGCTGCTCCTCCTGGCTGTGGCAGTGAAAGAATCGTGGCAGACAGAAGAAAAAACCTGCGACCCGGTCGGAGAAAAGGGTAGAGAGTCAGAGAATGAGTTGGCACTACTGAAAAGGCTAAAACCACTGTTTAACAAAAGGTAAATGAGAAGCACCTTAAAGAGCTTGAGAAAATAGCTTGATGAAAGCATCTCTCCCTTCTCTTACTGGTTTTATTTTAATGTTACCACTGACTATAGAGGGAATACATGCATAATAACCTCCTCTGAGAAATGGTTCTGTTCTGACCTTTAGCAATATTGGTCTTACTTGGCCATGATATCTTGCATTCTTTTATAATATAGAACAAATTTTTAACCCAGTTTTTAGTAGCAGTGTGCAGTTCTCTTAGGCAGAAGAGTAGCTGCTTCCAAGACTGGGTCTGAGAAGCCAGCTTGGAGGAGTTTAAAGGCATTACATGCAACAACATGGATGGGCCTATGGAGCGTTATGCGTAGTGAGTAAGCCAGAGGATGACAGCGCATGTGCCGTCGCTCATAATACAGAGAGAGACCGGACAAACAGATGAACTAAATAAAACAAAAATAAACTTTTGCACTATGGGAACAGTTGGTGGAGGGGAGGAGATAAATCGGGGTAAACGGGACAGTTCTCTGGAGGATAGAAGTGGATGTTTCATGGTGAGTTTAAGTAGTACCTACATGTTGGTTCTCAGTATGGACATCCCAAACTTATATAATGTTGTAGTGCAGTGTCACTTCAGTAAAAACTGAGGGGGGGAAGGCATCACAGTCACAAGTCATTTAACAACAGGGATTCATTCTAAGAAATGTGCCATTAGGCATTTTTCTCATTATGCAGTTGTCACAGAGTGTATGTTATTCTCCAAACTGTACTTCTCCATTTCACTGGCATAGCAATTCAAGAGGGCAGCTTGGAAGAGGGGCTAGGTCATCCAAACTTCCTATAGTATATCATTCCTATAGTACAGGGGTGGTGTGTGTTACCACATCACAGACTGATAGGAATTTGGGGACCACAGTCATATACGTGGTTAACCGTTGACTGAAATGGCCTTATGAATGGCACAAGACCATACCTGATGCCAACTCCATATAATAGGACGTTAGAAAGATCAGATGAACATATTTAGGCCTATACGTGTCATAAGTATCAGGAATTGTCCGGTATAGAAAGCTGAAGATTAAGGAACAAGGGAGTATCCCATGAACATAGATCCTTATTCCAGGAAATTAGTCTCAAACACTCTGGCTTAGTCCAGAGCAGGTATTCCAGAAATGTCTTAAATATTGAATGCTATGGGTGGTATATTTTTGTTAATCATCACCAATCATTAGGATGGTCAGAATTACGGATGGCACATGATTCAGCAAACTTATTCAGGTAAGTAAACCCAGCACTTTGTTGTTGAAGGAAGAGGCTGCTCTTCCTGAAGCTGACAGTCAGTAACTCTCTTCTTTCTCCTCCCTTCTTCTTACAGCTTTGAGAGCACTGTGGGCCAGGGCCCAGACACATACATCTACCTGTTCAGGGTGTGCCGGGAAGCTAGCAACCGCACCTCTGGGGCAGGCCTGGTGCAGATCAACAAAAGTAACGGGAAGGAGACAGTGGTAGGGAGACTGAATGAGACTCACATCTTCAATGGAAGTAAGACTCTCCCTGTTGGTTCCAGGTCAATCCCTCTGACAATTCTTAAAGTCTCAGCCTTTCCCAGTCTTCAGTGTATCATGAGATGTGCATGGTGCAAGCATACCTGAGACTGAAGCACAGATACCTAATTCCCCCTCCACTCTGGAATCAGGTCTTAAGACACTTAGGTGTTTGTTTTAAAGTTAGTGGAAAACTGATGCAAAAAGAAATCCCGCTGGAATTCAGTAACCTGGAATCCTTTTATTCACCCAAATACTTTTAAGTTTTTCGTGCTGGACTTGAAAATACCAACTACCATCATTTCTCATCAAATGAATCAAACTTCCCTGATCACATTCTAGGAGATCAAGCTGTTTGGCAAACCAGTCATAAAAATTTCACCCCCAACTTGTACTATCATGATATTTCTCAAAAGTCATAAAATCTTACTGCTGGAAAGGACCATGTGAGCACCTGTGGTCCAATTACTTCCCTTAAACAGATGAGTAACTAAATGATCCAGTGCAGGTATTTGTTCCTACAAATAGCAAATAAAGACTTTGGGGCTAGGGGTCACAAGACTGGATTTTTGACCTGGTTCAACATATTTACTTGTCCTAAGAAAAATAATTTCACCTTTTTACTTTAGGATTCTGCTTCTCCTATGCAAAATTGGAAGCAGAATCCTGCCTTATTCTCCTCATATGCTTGTTGAATCGAATGAAATGTTTCAAAAGAAATTTGAATACAGTAAATACTGAAGAAGAAATGTCTTCCAATCTTAAAAATCATCTACTTTATCTGTGGCTAATTTTAAAGCTTAGTCTTTCCCCTGATATCCAGTATTTGTCTCAAATTGCCTCTTTGGATGTTAGTAGGTGTTCAGAAACTAAACTGTTGTAAAGATACAGATTGTAATTGTTTTTGCACGATCAGTTCCCTGATTTAAATGTGGAAGATTAAGATTCTTTTATGAAAAATCTTACTCTCTTAAGTTAACACACAGCTACCATAAAGAGGCAAGTTTTAGTTTGGTATTTCTGCTATCAAAGCTCATGCTGTTGAGAGCGATTAGAATTACAGCCCATCTATATTACCCAGGTCTCCCTCTGCTTTCCCCCAGCCCATGACTGTGTTTTCCTCCTCCATCCTCAGGTAATTGGATCATGCTGATCTATAAAGGTGGTGATGAATATGACAGACACTGTGGTCAGGAGCAGCGGCGCGCAGTGGTGATGATCTCCTGCAATCGACACACCCTAGGGGTGAGGCACCCAGGGCATATGAACCTAGAGAGGAGAGGACTGACCTGAGGTGGGAAAGCTTTTAGAGTGGGGACAGGCTGCACTGGGGTGGACAAGAGGAAACAGTTCAGCTTTTCCCTGTCACAGGCACCCATCTTCCATCATACATGGAAAATATGTGGTGGATACAGGCAGAAGCTGACATTTTGGGGGGGTTGTGGGGTTTTTATTTCTTTTTTTTTTTTTAAGATTTATTTATGCATATAAGAATTGGGGTACAGGCCAGAGGTGTGGGGGTGAGAGGATTCACCAGAGACAGAGCAGGGAACAGACCAGCAGATCAACTGAAATATACTGCTGAGGGGAGTAGCAGGCAAATCCGGAGAGGTCTGCCACACCATGTGGGTAGCTCCCTCGCTGGGGATCAAACTCGTGCTGCAGTGGCTGCAGATAGCTTCATAAGTTGCAACTTAACCCCTTGTGCCACCAGGGAGGCCCGGTTTTTCTTTCTTAAGTAGGAATCGAGAAAACTGCCACATGAATGTGTTCTGTCCTCTCTCATCCATCATTAGGACAATTTTAACCCTGTGTCTGAGGAGCGAGGTAAAGTCCAAGATTGTTTGTACCTCTTTGAGATGGATAGCAGTCTGGCCTGTTCCCCAGAAATCTCTCACCTCAGTGTGGGATCTATCTTACTCATCACGTGAGTACTCTCACCCCATCAGTCCAGATCTGCCTTTTTCTTAAGCAATTTATTTACTTGGTGATATATAGGCATGAATCGTGTGTGTGAATGTGTATAATATACAGTTAGAAGGGGAAGAACTTTTTGTGAAATTCTTAACTCTGACTACAAGTCACAAAATGTGATTTTAATGTTTTCTCACAATAAATATTTTTTTCCCTATTGGTGAGCTGGAATGTTTTTAATATTATCGCATTCGAGTATTAGAAGTTGGGGATAAATAGAATCATAGCTGATAGTGACTATCCTTGACTGTAATTTTTTCCTGAACCTTTTGCTTTTCTCAGTCTGCAAATGCTGATTTGTTTTCTAAAGAAGCTCTCAGTCCCCTTTTTCATTTACCGTCACTACCCTTTTATTTTTGTATGACACAGCAAACAGCTAACAATAAAGATAGAATCCTGTGTATCTGAGTTTTACTGGGTTTTTTTTTTTTGTTTTTTTTTTTGTTTTTTTTTTGGTTTTTACGTGTAGATGTCTTTCTTCCTTCACAGGCTGGCATCACTGGTTGCAGTCTACATTATTGGGGGCTTCCTGTACCAGCGACTGGTGGTGGGAGCCAAGGGAATGGAGCAGTTTCCCCACTTGGCTTTCTGGCAGGATCTTGGCAACCTGGTAGCCGTAAGTAGCTGGGCTGCTGTCTGAGGGGTGAACTAGGTAAAGGTTGGGTGACCAACCATTCTGGCTTGCCCAGAGGGTTTTCCTGAGACACACCAGATTTTGTGTTAAAATGATAAAAGACACAGCAAGCCAAGACAATTGGTTGTCCTAGTACAAAGTATTAAGTAGCATAGAATTAGAGGGGCTACAAGTTTATAAGAGAAACAGTGTGGCTTAGATTTAGTAATCTGATAACTCTTAAAGGGTCTTAATGGGGAGAAGGTGAAGCCCAATTAGAATTTTTCTTGTTTACCCCAAATTTAGTTTAGGCTGATCCTTGGAGCTTGTGAGTTTTCGCTCCATCATCCTTGGGGAAAACTACTTGCCACTTTCTTCAACTGTGCTTTCCTTTACCATTAGTTGGTTATTCCAAATTATCACTTCCTTCCTTTGCTTTCTTCCTTACAGGATGGTTGTGACTTTGTGTGCCGTTCTAAACCCCGAAATGTGCCTGCTGCATATCGTGGTGTGGGGGATGACCAGCTGGGGGAGGAGTCAGAAGAAAGGGATGATCATTTATTACCAATGTGATTGCACTTTAAACGTCCAGCTGCTTCTTCAGTCCCCCAAACCAAAGCATACTCAGCCAGATTTCTTAAGCAGGCTCTACTCCAGTCTCATCTCACCCTTAATACTGCTCTTGCTTTCAGTCTGCATCTTCTCATAGCAGAAATGCCTTCCCTTTGTTCCCTAGTTTCTGTTTTTGAGAGGCACAGTGTAGGACAAAAGTAAATGGGGCCTACGACTACAGGGGCTATTGCACATTCTGGGTATCAGGTTGGACCATTACAGTGAACAAAAGGGTATGGCAGGCTCCCTGACCCTTTCTTCTTTAGACACATTTTCACAAGTTTTTGAGACACTGGATTTCTTTAATTAAAAAAGAAAAAGGCAAAGATTATTTATACATGGTTTGATTGCTTTCATGCTGTTACTCTGTACCCTACAGTAGTCTCCATGAGAATCTGGATGTAATTTCTTGCTGCTTAGAACTACTTTTAGTAATAACTTGGTTGCAATCCAAGTACTGCCAATTGGGGTGAGCCTGGAGATGTTCTAAAGACTTGCTTCTCCCACCTCTGGGATTAGGATGGGGAAAATGTGAAGTTTCCCATTACAGGGTTGTAAGGTACCATCACACTTGTTGGCGTGGGAGTGACTTCATAGCTGGAATTGGGCCCTGGATTGTGGTCTGTGGTTATTGGTCCATCTGTAGCTGAGGTGCCTAATCTAGAAGTCCAGTCCATCGGAAAGGGAAACTGAAACCAGCCTCCTGTGCTACAGGGGTTCCGGAAAAGGGAAATCTCTTTACCTTATAGTGGGATCTCTGATGGCTTTCTTCTCCCACTTGCAGTACACGCTGGCCAAGCTTCTCTCACGCCTGACATGTTTCCCTCTGCCAGTATTTTCTAAACATGTTGCACTTTCTTCACAGGCATGTTGACTTTTTTTCCTCAATCTTCTAGAAAGGGAACGGAAGCAGAAGTGGGACTTGTCAGGCTCTGCCATCCTCGCTGGGGTGGGAGGCTGCTGTACCTGTCCCTCTTTCTAGCTCAGGGAAGAATCTTGCCCGCAGCAGTTCTGTGGGGAGAGATTTTAAACCCTCTGATGCTTCCACCTTTCTCTTTAGGCCATGTGCCCAGAAACCTGGCCTGATCTTTCGCTAATAGGTAACACCTGGGGCACTGGAGCGTAAACATGGCTCTGCTAAACCTGAGAGGGATGGGATCAGCAGGCAGGGACCTTTTATAAGCCTTTAGAAAAAGAAAAATTATTTCATTTTGGACTTTAAATACTATCAGAATGATTTTTTTTCTTCCTAAATAGGGAAAATAATGTTGTAAAAACATCTTTGTTATTTGTTTGGCTCCTCCCCCACACTGGTGATTTAAAAAAAACCCTACACTTTTGTACAAAAACCACATAAAAGATTAAAAAAATATAAAATATGCTGGCCTGTCATTTGTGGGAAGAGGGCAGAGATACTGGAATGGAGTAGCAACAACTGAGACCAATGTTCATCCTTTCAATGAGGTGGGAAAAAAATATTTAATATTTTTGTTGTATAAAGAATAGCGCCACAGGCAGGTACTTATACTCCTGACCTGGAAAAACACATTCCTGTTTCATAAAGCTAAAAGACAAAGCGGCGTTGGGGTTGAAGTTAGGGTGGAGGGCAACAGATAAAGTGGAAGGGCACGGGGTGGGGGGAGGATGCGTGTAGAAAGAATGACAACAGCCACACATGTGCGAAACACTTTTAGTCCCTGCAGCGAATCAGAATGATGCCAACCATGTCTCTCAGTTGGCTGGTGACCCTGCCATGGATGCAGGAGAAAATATTCAATACTAAGGGGGTGAGTGACGACAACGAAAATTCCGGGCCACAGCTACAGTTGGACAATCCAGAGGGAGGGGAGAGGGCGTACCAGATTTTGCTACTTGTGTCCCTACCTCTCCGCCGGGGAGGCACACCTACAATGCCCCCATTTCTTGCTTTACCATACTGTATAGTCCTCCACTTAGAGAATTAAGACCCTGGCTAGACACTGCACTCCAGGATAAGGCTGGGCAGTCCTAGTTCTCTAGACTGCCTCTTTAAGATTGGATATGGGCAGGTAAGAAGTAGAAAGTTTTTTTGAAAACAAAGTAGAACCCAGAGAAAACGTCAAAGCTGCCGCCATGTAGCACCAGCGACTAATTCTTGGACAACTCCGTCCCTGTCTCGGTGAGCCCCTCGAAGATGCACACGATTGGAACAGCTCTTCCCGGTGGAGTCTGCCGGTACCGGTTATAACCTGGTCAGAGGGGAGTGTCTGCCTTAGGCTGCTTGTGCAAGAGGCCTCCTTAGGTCTCCTTGAGGACATTTATCTTGGCGCAGATCTTAAGGGCAGGGCCCAGCTTGATGTTCATGGCACTCATAAGATGTTCTTCTTTAAGTAACAAAAGGGCCTGTCCATCGATCTCCTGGGAGCGAAATTCCTCTGCGATCTCTTGGCAGCCTAGGAGGAAATGGTGGGATAGGTATAAGAGCCTGCATGGTCACACCAGGAGCAGAAGGGAAAATAAAAATGAAAAAATAGAACTAGCAATGATTCATCCCAGACCATATCCTAAATTCAGGGATAAAGGTCTGAGATGGCAAGCTTTGGAAGCAGAATGAAACCAGAGAGAGCAACTGGCTACTGAAAAAAAAAGAGCCGACGTCAAAAAAGGAACAACTCAGTTATTCAACCACAGAAATAACTTCATTCCAATAGCATGAGGATGGGAAATAACGGAGCAAATACGTTGTTTTCTTCCACACTGGCAAAAACATCAAAGTTAAGAGCCTTGGTGTCATTTTGTTTAAGGGCCCTGAATTCAGGCAAATAAAAAAGGTAGAGTGATTTCCTTTTCTTGATAGAACCACTTGTGGCAAGAATAGCTAAACAGTCCTGCCTTGAAGACAGCAGAGGAACAATGGGTCCATATTTCCTAACCTCCATTAAAAACAGTCCCTTACCCATGGTGGTTGTCACAATCACATAAAAAATACACTTTAGTGTCCACAGGTCACATCAAAGGACTCATACTTCTTGCCCAAAGAACAGCCAGCGCAGAGGCTTTTGTTAGCTGTGTTTACTCCCTGATCTCCAATTTGTAATGGCCGTTAATTGCACATAAAATACTTTCTAAAGAACTGATTAGTGAAATATACACACATGCACAAATATGCCTTATCCAAAAATGATTAGTAAGAAAAAGCTAGATCAGAAGGGACGAAAATCAAACATTGCAAAACTGCTGACATAATAGAGGACAGTCCGTCGAGAAAGAAAGTAGGAGAGCAGGCTGAACACGCGGGGCCTCTTGAACTTGCTCAAGGCTCTACTGCTGAAAAGACAGTTCTGTTCCAAAACTGTGTGAGCTGTCCCAGGCAGACAGTGGGGAAAAGCTAAGCCTGCAAGCCCTGGGTTCTGCTGGAGAGGTCCTCACCTTGTAAGGAAGCAATAAATTCGTACACCTCCTCTACACTCCACCGGCTGGGATTACTGGACAGGAACACAGGGTTGATTCCATGTAACTCGGGGGTAGGCGGAGCTGTGTTGGAGTTCCCCAGGTCACGTTCTCCATGCCCAGCTCTCACTGATAAAGGCCCAGGAGACGTTGGTGAGAGTGCTTCATCATAACTGGAATTATCTGAACCCCGGCTAGAGTCTTCTTGACCCTAGAGAGGAAACAACAGCAGAACAGTGAGATCCTATCTGTCCCGAGGTTTCCCTCTCTCCTGACCAACCACCATGGATTTGGGATAGTATTGGGCATAGTGGAAAAACCAATTTTACAAGTGAAACAATTCGTACTTTCCTTTTCAAAAGCCCCATATCACTAGTCTCTCAAGTGCCTTTCCAGTGTGAACTTTACTGCTTTCTTAATTCTCACCTATCAACAACTGACCTGGATTTTCTCAAGTTTAGTGCATGGATTAAGGGATACATGGACTAGTGAAAGGAGGCAAGACCCTGGATTTTGGGAAGGAGGTAAAGATCTCTTGGAATTTGGAGCAATGCTCTCAACATGAAACCAGAGTTCTGGCCTCCTGCTCTTTTACCTGAGCAGAGGAACTGCCCTTGGGGGAAGAGGAAACAAAAAGGCCTGCTTGACAGGTGGCTGGCTCTGCACAAGCTCACCCGGTGGCGCTTGCCCTGGATCTTGGCGCGGGCGATGTCTGAGGAGCTGCGGCGGGGTCCGCGCCGGCGAACACGGGCATAATTGGATTCTTGAAACTCTTTCATTTTTTTCCTCTTCAGCCGGAACTGGTGGCTACAGCTCACATTATACCTGCAGGGCACATGTAGGCTGTCCAAGGTGCTAGAGAAGACTACCTTGCTGCCCTGCACTAAATGTGAGCTGACATTATAAGAGCTGACTGGAGGGAGAGAACAGAGGAGGAGACATAAAATACCAGCTGGGAGATGCCCCTGGGGAAGGAAGAATGCATGTGAGATGGAGGAACCAATGCAAAGGCCAGGGGGGCCTGCAGTACCTCTTTGCGCAGGTCATGGAGCAGAATCTTTTGGAGCCACGAAACTGCTCTGCAGGAGCGTACTTCCCACAGTACTCGCACTTCAGGACATTCGCCTTCTTATCTAGCTCTGAAAACAAGGCATCACTGGAGAGTGGCCATCGGCTTCTGCTGCCCCCAGGCCGTCAGCAGGCCCAGAGCTGGACTCTAATTACTCTCCGGGTTTGCCCCCAAGAATACACAACCTAATTGAGAATCCCTAAAACAAAGTCCAAAATCCAAAACCATAAAGACTTGTCCCTCTGGTACATGACAGCCTCCCTAACTTTAAGCCTGACCATTTCTATGTTCTGTGACTAATTTTTTCCTAATTCTATATCCTTAGTTTTCAGACAGGACTGCGTCGCTGCATAGGAGAAAGGAACTAATTACAAATGCCTAGAAAGATAAAAGATACCTCTCCCACCAAGGTTTCCAAAAACAGAGGGGTGAATGTAAGTAAAAGTCCTGACTAGAGATTATCAAATCTAGACTAAGAAACACTAGAAGCTAAGAAATGTCGTTTTAGATCATCTTTTAGAATATATATCCTTATAGTAAATAATTCAACAAGTTACTTTATTATTATTTTTTTTAAAGTTACTTTAACCTGATAAAATTCCCTAATCCTGTGGACCTCCTTTTATGTGATTCTACGCCTTCTGATATGTAACATAGTTTATATGTATACATAGACTTCATATAATTCCCACTGAAATAAAAAATTACTATATTCATTGTGTCCTCAAATATATCTCCACAAGCTTCCTTCCCCCAGCAGGGTCTCTAAATAAATACTCACCGGCAGATGGGCTGGCCCCGCCCAAGGGACCACCTGACTGATTCTCACTCAGCCCTGGCGGAAGGCCCGTCTGCAGTGGCTTCTCAGACTCTTTCAGTAACTGAGAACAACCCACCTGTCCCAGAAAAAAGTTTACAGTTAAGTTAGTCAAATTCCCTTCTGCTTCTCTATAGCTTTCCCCAGCATTCCTCACCAAGATGTCACTTGGATCTCTGAGTTAAAGGCCAGCTCCGGTTCAGACTTACTCATTTTCAATATGGCCCTTGAGAGTCTCTAACTGCCTTTTTTCAGATAAGCCACCGGAGAACAGGTTCCTACCCCAGCTCCGTATTTGGTCCTTGTCCTTCTTAAGTGGCAGAAAAGATACCAGGCGCCCAGATACCTGTGTTCTAGGTATGGCTCTTCAACTCCTACCAAGTCCGTCATTACACCATGGTCTTCATTAAACCACCTAGCTAGGGCCTCCCCTGGTGGCGCAGCGGTTCAGCGCTGGGTTGCGAAGCTGCCCGCAGCCTTTGCAGCGCTGGTTCGATCCCCGGCCACCGGCGAGGGTCCCACATGCGCCAGACCTCTCCTGTTTCGCCCGCTGCTCCCCTCAGCAGTGTACTTCGTCAGTCTGCCTGTTCTGTTCCCTGCTCTGGCGAATTCTCTCACCCTCTGTCCCACATGGCGCCAGACCTCTCCTGTTTCGCCTGCTGCTCCCCTCAGCAGTGTACTTCGTCAGTCTGCCTGTTCTGTTCCCAGCTCTGGCGAATTCTCTCACCCTCCCGCGCTTCTGACTATACCCAGTGCTTGCATAATAAATAAATAAGTAAATCTTAAAAAAAAAAACACCTAGCTGGTGGCACTCCCACTTCACAGGTCACTTTGTTCTTTTTTCTTTTCTCTTCCCAACATTTTAATTTACTGGTCCATAAATTCTTTACTTTTCCCTTCCTTCTTTACAACTCACCAAAATCAACAGCAGAATTAACCATGTGTTAATAATTAAACAGTCCTGAGTCTTTTGTTTCTAGCAGCAGTTTGAAGTTAAGGATCAGGCCAAGTACCCACTTGAAAGTCCCCCCTTATGGTCCTTCCCTCACCGGGAAAGGTTCTGCTCCTTCCTGGATGACAAAGCCTTCAATGATATGTGTGAGAATCTGGGGTTTCACAATGGCCTGTGGGGGTTTGGAGTCACCCATTTGTCTGGACACCATGGCCAGTGTAGGAGGTGGTGCTGTTGGAGCCGGAGCCAAGGCTACTAGTTCACTGCTCGGGGTATTTGCATTCACATTGGTCATTGGCTCAGCTTTCTCTGGAAAATAAACACGGATTAAGGAACAGATGTGGGATGGCATAACTCATCCGTTAGCCAAGCCAGCCTGTTCTTTCATAATAACACCTGGTTATCTCTGAGCGTTCACTCTGGATATACTTAAACATCCACCAAGTTGAGGCTCGAGTTCTACTAAAGCGGATTTATCTTTTAGCCCACTCAGAACATTCCTCTCATCTGTGTACTCCTCCACAGCACTAAAGAAGCCAGTTACTCACCTCCAAGACTGCTCTTCTCCTCTATGGCCTTCGGACTCTCTGCTGCTGGAGATGCCTTGGTGGGAAGCACCGAGCCTAGTGTGGGAATGTCATCTCTCTCCTCCTCACACTCTGCTTTGCGTTTGACAGCCAAGGTCTGGGGTTTGCCCTACAAAGTGAAAAGTAGGAAAGAAACCAAGATTTAAGTGAAGGGTAATAACACTGGTTATCCCATCCTTTCTTCTTCACTGCAGATTCCCCAATTTGTATACTTCCCATCATGCTTTCCTGGCCATTCCCAAAAGTGTGACTTCTATCCCAGGACAAAAGAAAATGCCACATTCTTTGGCCCTGGCATAGAGACTCAGGATCCATTATGGAACCACCAAGAACTGTTGTTCATCTAAAGATGAATTTAGGAGAAAGCTATACCGATTCAGCTTAGTACTGATCTAAAAACCCCATAATTTCAGTATTAAATTTAGGTACAAAGTTCATATAGCATAGCCACTGAAGTCTCTCCTTTTACTAAAGAAGCAAGTGAAGACAAGTATCATAACTTTCCATTGGTTTCTCTCTCTCTTTCACAAAAGCAGGTAAATATCAATATATCTCATCCTTCTCAACTCCTTTTTTTTGCATAAAACTGGCGTGTAGGCCAAAAGTGCAGGAGGTAAGAGATTTCGCCAGAGACAGAGTTAGGAGCAGAACAGACAGATTTACTGAAATACACTGCTGAGGGGAAAAGCGGGCGAGACAGGAGAGGTCTGTTGTGCCATGTGGGTCAGCTCCCTTGCTGGGAAAAAAGTAGGAAAGAAATAGGAAAGAAAACCAGATATTATTACACTCAGACTGTGGTGGTGATAGTACTGAGACTTAACCCCTAGGCCACCAGAGAGGTCCTTATTCTCCATACTTTATGCCCCTACTAAGTTAAGTTCTATTTCCAGAAGCCCAGGTCTACTCTCAAGGGTAACAGGCCCCTCAAAATCATCACACATCACTCACCGGCAGGTGCACAGACTGCATGTAGAAGGCAGCAGGGACTTGGGCGACAACAGGGGAAGAGGTGGTAGCCCCACTCTTTACCACTTGTGCTGTGCCCTGTACAGGAGCAAGGCTCATCCCAGCGGCCATGGCAGGAGGGCACTCCTGCAGCGCACCAGGCGCCTGGGATGAAGGTGGCGAGGATGCCAGATGGGCCTGACCAGGCTGCACTGCACCTGGCATCCCCCGGGAAGTAGGGACAGCGGCTGCCAGCTGGGCCAAGCCCAAAGCCTGGGCCTGGGCTGTACCTGGCTGCCGAGTGCCCACAACTTGCACAGGGATGTGGGGTGGCGGTTGCTGGGTAGCTGACATCTTAGCTGCCCCTAACTGAGGAGGCTTGATAGGTGGGACAGGTGGTTTGGACTGGATGGGGATGGGTGGCTTGGGGCTTGGGTCAGGTGGGAGGGACAAGGGCGAAGACTGAAGCATGGGTTGAACAACCAAGGTTTGGGCTTGCTGCTGGGACTGGGAAGGTGGGACCTGCTGAGTGGGTGGGACCTGTGGTGGCTGAGGGGCAGTGAGGGTTGTGGCTTGCTGCTGCTGTTGCTGCTGTTGCTGCTGCTGCTGCTGCTGCGCCAGCTGGAGGTGTGTGGCTGTGTGGAGCAGCTGGGACTGGCGGTGCTGGAACTGCTGCTGGTGGTGGATGGCAATCTGCTGCTGGATTACCACCTGTTTCTGTTGGAGGTGGATCTGTTGCTGCTGCTGAATCAGTGAATGAGGCTGGATCTGTGTGTAGGTGGCTACAAGAAGCCCAGAGTGGAGCAAAGAGCAGAAGTAGAGCAGAAAATGAGCATCATTATAAAGGAAAGGTAAAATCACCTTTCCAAGCTGTACCTTGTTTTGGAATCATACAGTGAATGGAGATCCTGGCTGGGAGGAACCAAAAGCTTAACCCACTCAAACTTTTCCAAGTCAGACAATACCACCTACCTCTAGGCTAAAAGACTCAAGGAAGACTTTCCTTATTCAGTCACTGAACTATCCCTTGGAAATTTCTTGCATTTTCCTACCTTTAATTTGTCTTGCTATACCTAAATCCTGTTACTTTGTACTCAGCACAGAAGAATGGTGGGCCCATCCTCTATATGATTACATGCTGAATTCCTCAGAGGCTGAGCCCACATTTTACTTATTTTTACATCCCTAGTCACTGAAAGAATAGATGTCTTCTGTGAAAGATACCAACACTGCCCATAAGAACCATTTTTAAAATTGTCCAGTTTATTTTTTTTTAAAGATTTATTTATTTATGCATACAAGAGCTGGGATACAGGCCAGAGGTGTGGGGGGTGAGAGGATTCACCAGAGACAGAGTGGGAAACAGAACAGGCAGATTGGCCGAAGTACACTGCTGAGGAAGCAGCAGGTGAGGGCGAGTCAGAAGAAGAGGTCTGCTGCGCCATATGGGTTGCTCCCTGGCGGGCCGGGGGATTGAACTCGTGCTGCAGTGGATAGCTTCATAGGTTGCGTCTTAACCCCTTGAGCCACCAGGGAGGCCCTAAAATTGGCCAGTTTAGATCACCACCTACTATGGACATATTAAGAGGTAGCATATATAGCCTCTGACATTACCCAGTCTGCTCCACTGTAAACTGAACTTGACAATCTCCACCCTTCCACTCTCTCCCAGATTGTCCAGAGAACACATGTAAGGTAAAAACACTCTGGAAACAGAAGTGCTATTATATGTAAGTACTAGGTATTAATAATACAACTAATAATTAACTCTGACTTTTGTAGTAACTTATTCAAATATAGTAACAACTGCAGCGCTAGCTACAAGGAAGGCCAACTACAAGGAAGGCCAAAGTAAACATCATCAAGCAAGGTGCACACATCTAACTAGAGCTAACCAGCATAAACCATTCTGGGTTATAATTATTATTCTTCTTTTTTATCCTTATCATTAATACCGATGATCACCAGCTGACTCTGGGAAGCCCTGGCTCTATCTGCTTGCCCTAACTGCCCTAAAGCACTGATACTGTGTCTATTCTACATGGGGCCAACTAGCCATTAGACAGTGAGGGAGAACACATCCATTATGCTAAATTGTAAACTCCCTGAGGACAGAAACCTGTTTTTCAAAGATGCATCCCCAGCACCTGACAGGTAGTTGTAGGCAACTCAGTAGAACTGAGTGAATGCTTGAGTAACGTGAGGAAACTGAAGACTCAGGGCCTAAGAGAGGACAAAGCAACCTGCAAACTGACTGCTGCCTGGCGGGAACAGCAAGATAGTCTGTTCTCTGCCCTCCTGTCTCCCTGGACTAACAAGATGAAGACTGATGAAGATTTTTTCTGTCCACTACTCCAGGATCAAGAAAAGTAGGAAAAAAGAACAAAGAAACACATCCTACAAGAGTCCAAAAATGTTTCTGACACAATAATAACCTATGAGAGGTGACCGCTTACCTGAACTAATAAGGGTCTGGCTTGGAGCAGGGGTAGCTGTCCGTGTCAGGTTCATGCCCACGTTCTGCTGACCAGTCCCGTCTGCTTCTGCCTTCTTGGCTGCTGCACTTTCTGCTTCTGTCTGGCTGCCCTGACTCACTGTCACGGTTTGGGCTGCAGGCAAGGGTTGCACTACTCCTGTGCCCTTCCTAGGACAGCTCCCGCTTCCACCCATTCCTGAGGATGGCAACTGACCCAAACCCCCAGGCGCCTGGCCACCTCCACCTGCACCCATGGACCCTGGGATACTATTCCCACTGCCTCCACCAGCTTGACTAAGGTTGAGGGACTGGCCTGAGGCTCCAGAGGAAGCCTGAGCCACAGCAAGGGCCTGGCTTGAGGCCTGGGAGAGGCTAGAGACAGGGGAGGCTCCAGGAGGAATGGCCTTCTGAGTAGAGCCTGGTATTTGGGGTCCTTGGGCTGAGGCCTGTTGGTTTCTCACTGCCAAATTCTGCACCTGAAAGATAAGAAAATGAGAAGAGATTGAGAAAATGGGAACGGAGCTACTAAAGTCAAAGACTTGTGATTATTCTGAAACATCAAAATAGTTACAGTGTCACATTCCACAGCCCACTTCAACTCTACCTCCATTTTTATAACAATATACATTGAAAGCCTTCCCTTCACCCAGGGAGGAACTCTGGAATCATATTTGATTTTTCAGTCTCTTTCATTCATTATCAAATCCAGCATCAACTTTGGTTATTTATTCCTTCAAAATGTCTCAGATTTTCCCTTTCCTCTCCATTCATTCATTCAACATCCCCCAAATACTATGTGCCAGGTACTACACTGGATACTGGGGCTGCAGAAATGAAAGACACAGTCTCTGCTCTTCGTGAAAACTTTCTACTAGAGAACAAAGACATGGTTCCCCAAAAAACCATGTTATGCTATGTACAGATCTGCACAAAGTGCTATAGGAGCACAGAGGAGGAGAGTACAGAACACTTCCTAAAACAGGTGCTGTATGATCTGAGAACAGCACAGGTAATACTGGAGACAGGGCTTAAAGACACCAGTAATGGCATTTGCAGAATTATGGAGCCAAGAAAGAGCACGTCATTTTTTGTAAATTATAAATATTTCATTATGTTTGGGGTGAGTTAGAAGGAGTGACAAGAAACAGAGCTAGGAAGGTAGGCTGAACTTAGGGCAGCAAAAAGGTACCAGATTATGAAGGGCCTGATGTGTTAAAATAAGTTTGGAAACAAAGCTTGTATGTCTTATTCATTGTTACATCCCCAGCACCTAGGCACAGTGCCCAACACACAGTAAATACTCCAAAATATGAATAAAGAAGAAATTCTAAGAACTCAGTTGATTTCAGGAAGCCACTGAAGAATATGCATCAGAATAAACATGATCAAAACTATATTTAAAACCATTCTTTTAAACTGCTAGAAGTACAGCCACTGTGGAAAATAATTTGGCAACATATCCTGAAATTGAACCTTCATACACCCTTTAACCCAGGAATTCCACGAGAAACTCTTGCTCTGTAAAACAGGAGGCACATGTAAGAGTATCCACAGCTCATGGCCCATGGGAACCACCCAAATAGCCATTATCAGAAAAGAAGATAAACAAATTGAATAAAAGTATATTCGCACATGGGATTTGCACAGAAATCAAAATTAATAAAGTACAATGACATGAACAATAATAATAAATCTGCATAATATGCTACTAAGAAAGCATTCCCCAAATGATTACACACTGCACAAGTACCTTATAAATTTAGATACAAATGAAGAAATGTATTACAAAGACATGGCTTCAGAGATCTGCTTCTAAGAAACCCACAGGTGGAGGGAGGGGACTGGATAGATGCCAGGTGTTCATGTGTGTGGAAGCTGGATGGTAAGTACACAGGGGTTCTTATTTGTTTCTACTTTGGATAAGTTCAAATTTTTCCATAATAAAAAGCATTTTTAAGAAATACATGTAAAATGCAATAAACTGCTGGGTGTGGGTCCCGCATCATAAGGGAAGGCTGAAGCTTGGCATCAGAATGATCACTACTAACAAGCAGTGAATGAAGTAGGGACTGCTTATCTATTATATTATGAAGAAATACTAAATAAATAAACAGAAGTGTTCCATGAGTGGACCACTGACAAGAGGGTGTAATGAGCAAAGGATTATAATTTATCAAATTCTACATAGCAGAAGCACAATTAGAAACACTAGCAGTAACAACATATATATTCGTGTGTAAACATATTCAGATAGGAATGTGGAGAGGATTAAAAGTAGATAAGGCTGAAGTCAAGAAACCAGTTAGGAAACTAGTACAGCAATTCAGGTGAAAAATAAGAACCTGCAATCAGGCAGCAGCAGTGAGGAGGAAGTGACAGCTTTTGAGAGATATTTACAAGAATCATCAGAACTGGGTGCTGGGGCACTTAATATGATCTGGCAATTAGTTTTTTCCTAAACAGTTTCCTTTCCATAATGGCTACTTAAAGTCCTCCTACTCTGCCTTTACTTCAAACCACTTCCTCGCCACCTCTCCCTCTTTACCCCTGCCCGGACAATAAAACCATGTGGGGGATGGTGCTTAATCAGTTCCTCCTCCAATTTACCCATCTACCTACCAACCCACTTCTCCCAACTCTCCCTTCTGTCCTTCCTCCTACCAATGAGCAGACCTTTCCAAGGTCAGGATCCCATTGCTCCTCCTCAAAATCTCACATGACCAACCTCTGCTGTTTCCTCAATATTTCTTTGACTGAACAGCGCCTGAATGTAATGTGTACCATGCCTTCCCCTGCCCCTGCCTCCTTTCTTGTTAATGAAATTCTTAATCACTGTTCACATTGACTGCATCTATTCCCACTATCCAGTTGCTCCTCGACTCTCACTACTTTGGGTTTCAATCCCACAGCTCCACAGAAAGACCTCTCCGTTGATATTAGTAAATCCCTCTTTCCTGCCCTCTCAAGTGCATGTGATGCAGGACACACACCCACCACTTCTTGAAACATTCTGTTCCCCTGTCTTCATGACGCCACACTCAAGATTTTCCTACCTGTCACTTTTTCCTACTTCACTTTGTCAGCCCGTCACTCTAATTCATCTTGAACTGCACTATTTCCAATCCTTGGGGCTCCATTTAAGCAGTTTCTTCTCTGGGTGCACCATCTTGCTGGCCAGCTACTCTTATCAGTATTTCCCTCCAACTCAGACCTCTCCACTGAGCTCAAACATACAAGACCACTGACCCCCTATCACCTCGTGGAGGTTCACAAGCATTTCCAAATCAACACATCCAAAAGTGAACTTCACCCTAAATCCATTCTCCAAGATGCTATAGCTCATAAATGGCAGTACCAGCCACCTCACTGCTGCGTCAGGCATCATGAGCTTTAGCATTTCCCTCAGGTGCCCGAGGCACTAAATGACTTCTCCTTTTTCAGTCATTTTCTAAGTTTTTCTCAAATCTATTCATTTCTGTCCATCTCCATTTCTACCTGCCTAAGTCAAACAACTTCTCTCCCGCAAACTGTGATGCTCTTGTTCTCCCCACATTCACTCACACCATTTCCATTTATGTCCATACAGAAGCCAAGAGTCTTTACCTCAAATCTCTCCAAGTCACTTACAGGTTTAAAATCCTTCCACTGTTTTCCACTGCCCTTTGGATAAAGCCTAAATTCCTATATATAGTCCCCAAGGTCCTGTAAGATAAGGATTCAGCTCCCTCTCCAGCCCCATTTGCCAAACTACAGAAGGTGGGTCTTCTTTCAATTCCTCAAATGTATAAAGCTCCTTCCCTCCCCAGGTGTAGACATGGGATCCTCTGCTAGCACCACGCTCCTCCAGTGACAGCTTCCACAGACCCCAATCTCAATGTCACCATCTCAGTGAGGCCTTATTGACATCTACACCCATCCCAAGGCAAAATTAGGTCTCTTTTTATGTTTTCAGAACACTGTACTTTCTAATGAAACAACTGTTATATCATTCAGAGGGTGCTTTGATGGATTGTAAGCTCTGTCAGTCTAGTGAGCATGACTTTCTAGAACATTCAAGGCTCAGGGAAGTCTGATAGTCATCAAAATGCCAATTAACAGTTGCGTTTTTCAAGCACCTTCATATATCAACATATTTAGTCCTCACAACACACCCTGAGATAGTTTTTCCATAACAGATATTTTACAGAGGAAGAAACTGTGCTTCATCAAAAAGATGTTAGGTCATTTGCTGAGAGGACACAGGTCCTATTGACGCTACCAATCCATAAGATAAACGCTCAGGTTCAAATGTATATATTAGATATGGGAGACAATGGTGAGAAAGACTTTTTTAGGAACATGGTAAGCAGGAACAGACAGGTGAAAGCTGAAAGCTCCAGTAATTCATAAAGAGAAGGAATCAAACATTCTTCTAGCCACCCAGCAGGCCAGTTTCACATCCATTTCACAGAATTCCCTCACCTGTCCCTTATCTTTAGGAGACAGTAAAGCAAGGAGAGAGAATTAAGACTTCTGAATAAAATAAGCATTGAAAGGCTAAAAGAAGGGTAAGGAAACCTTCCCTGTGTAGAGACTGAGGCTTCCCAAGTCCACAGGGTTGTTTTCAACTTACTGCTATTCCCTTTCCAATTCAAATCAACTCAAAAGTTTTAAGAGATACAGGTTCTGTGGAAATTAAGAAAAAGGAACACAAACAAAAAAGAATCTGAAAAGTAGTAATGGGCTAGCAGGGCGGGCCTGGTCCCTGGTTATAACCTTCTTCCTCCCCATCCCCACCCACAGGTCAAGTGGTGGCCACTGACCTGATCTGCATCTGTATGAACTCCCGGAGACTGAGCAGATGGCACCTCCTGCTGGACTGCAGCCACTGCCCCGTTAGGCATCAGGATGAGTTGGGAGGCTAGAGGCACATTCCGGCCCAGGGTCCGGTTTACCTGCAATAGGTTTCCCAGCTGTGGCTGGCAAGGAGAGGAGAAAGAGGAAGAGCAGAGGAAAGAGGACAGGAGAAAAAGAAAGACAGAAGAAATGGAAGGGAAGGACCACAAGACAAAATAAACAGAAGATACGAAACAGCTAAGCCCTGCCCCTTTCCACACCAACCCAGGAGACCCTTATTCTCCATTATGCGATGAGTCATCCAGAAGAAAACCTAGAATGTGTATAAAATTATAGCTTGATAGCAAAGAGTCAAACATCCGAGAAGTTGAGACATGAGGATTTAAGGACACGTATTTATAGACAGCAGGTAGACAGGCCGAGAAACACAGAATTTGTGTATGTATGCCATGGGCTTAAAGATTAGACTGTATCTGATATTAATTTATTCAAACAATGCCAACATCTTCTGAGATCTCCACATAAGCTGCAGATACTTGCAAATACTAAACATCACTTCTAGAGGCAAGGCATAGTAAGTAGATCAGCTTGTCTTAAAACATCTGTATAACCACAGTTAAATAAAATAGCTTTGACTCAAGACCTTGCCAGGGACAGAACAATAATGCCCCTAGGACATACGGCAGCTATGTCTGTGGCTTACCCGTAGATACATCTGGGCCTGGGACTGGTTGAGGGGTGGGGAGGTGGTGTTCCCCAGCAGCACAGATTGGGTCAAAGTGGTAGCACTGGGAGAGCTCACACTCTGGGATCTGCTGATGAGCTGGGCGGCCGACGTGGTGGCTAGATTGATCTGCGTGGTATGAAAAGGAACCAGGATTAAGGATTTTAAAGTGGTAGAAGGAGAGGTACGTAACTGACAGGTTCAGAGTGACACACAGTCAAGAACCTAATATCTCACTTTTGTGGAGTTAGGGGAAAATGAATAATAACTTCCTTATCTGTAACTGTCACCCTGGCTACTTAGGGTATTACCAGCAAATAGGAGTCAATCCCTAACCACTAGCCTAACAGCTGACAAGGAAAAGGAAAAAAATGGAACCATCTGACTTCTCACTGAAGGGCCCAGTGATTAGACCCTTTCCTTTGTTTCCTCCTCTTCTTCCCCAGGATTTTCTTCCTCCTTTTTAGACCTCCTCATTAAGACTCCTACACAAGTCCAAGTTGGTTACTTTCCCTTTTACTAACATGCACTAGATCACAGCAGTAAATACCGCTATCAGATCAACTACACAAAGAAGTTTAAGCCAGAGACAAAGACCCACTGGGCTTCTCAGTGGGAGCAGAGGTTGGTACTCACTGAGGCCTGGGTGGTGGCAGTCTGCTGCTGCGTTGTGCTGGTGTTTGGGGAGCTGGCCTGCCGACTGGCAGCAATGGTGGCCTGTCATGGGGCAAAGGAAACAAGAATAGACACAAGGAAGAAAAGTCTCTGAGTCTTCCAATAATGAATTACAGGCACAAACAGAAATCACAGGTAAAAACTGAGGGACTCTACTATGGAACAAGGAAAGCATATTCCCATGAACACTCACTTCACCACATATGTTAATCCAATGATACCCACCTACCATCCTGGGTTGACAGGCAACCTGTCCTCCCCATCCACCTCCTTTTAGTGACCCCTTCAGTCAGGTCATGTCATGAGTCACTGGTCAGCCTTGCTGGAGCTATCCGATATCAATATAAGTGAGCTCAGTATAATTTTCTGGTGTGTACACTTTGTAAAAAGTGTAAACAAGAGGTAGCGCAAGGGGTTAAGTCTCAGCGCTATGAAGCTATCTCAGCCACTGCAGCCCAAGTTCCATCTGCAGCCAGGGAGCTAACCCATATATGGTGCGGCAGACCTCTCCTGTCTTGCCCACTGCTCCCCTCAGCAGTGTATTTCAGTTGATCTGCCTGTTCTGTTCCCTACTCTGTCTCTAGTGAATCCTCTCACCCCCTCCACCTCTGGCCTACACCCCAGCTCTTATATGCATAAATAAATAAAATAAATCTTTTTTAAAAAGTAAAAAAATGGGCCTCCCCTGGCGGCACAGGCTGTTGAGCGCAGCGCTGTGAAGCTGTCCGCAGCCTCTGCAGCGCTGGTTCAATCCCGGCTGGCCGACAAGGGACCCACATGGCGCGGCAGACCTCTCCTGTCTCGCCTGCTGCTCCCCTCAGCAGTGTATTTCGTCAGTCTGCCTGTTCTGTTCCCTGCTCTGTCTATGGTGAATCCTCTCACCCTCCTGTGCATCTGGCCTGTACCCCGGTTCTTGTATAAATAAATCTTAAAAAAACAATCAATAAAAAGGCCAGGCTTTGCCTTCTCAGCGGCATCCTGCCAAAAAAAAATAAAAATAAATAAAAAAAAGTGAAACCAAACTGGAAAAGTTAACATTAATGATTTACTTTGTTGAAACCAGTATGTCTCATTTCAACATGTAATCAATATAAACAAACTAATAAGAAATTTTACATTCTTTTTCATACTAAGTCTTTGAAATCCAAAGTCTTATTGCACATCTCAAATTGAACTGGCCACACATTAAGCACTGATTGCAACACTTTAGACAGGGCAGGTCTAGAACACAGCCATTCTGCCTCTAAAGGCAGTTCTGCTATTGCTCCTCTTGCAACCCCAGAAACCAAGACCCTTTCACTCTCCTTCAGGCAGAGATGACTCTTTCCATCCTGGCTTAATGTAGGATGCACTAGGCCCCAAAAGTCCAAAAGTCACACCTGCCCACTATAGTGCCGGTCCCCTCCCTCCTGGCCAGCTGGCTGCTGACCTCTCACCTGCTGGACGGCAGCCAGACTATGCAGCTGGGCATTGCTGAGCTGCTGCTGGAGCATGAACTGGTGGAAATACTGAGCCGCATTGGGCTGACGCTGCAATGCCTGCAGAGCCTAGGAGGAGAAAGAGAAGATCAGCCCACTTGCAATGAATCACTGCTAACTCCTATTCTATACAATCACTGTGATCCTATCAAAGGGATATATGGCAAGGAGAGAAACAAAGGAAGAGAGGAGGCTGGCTAAGTCATCAGTACCAGGTTTGTCCATTTTTATATTAGAATCAGTAAGTTCATATAGTCCTCAAATTGTGGAGAAGCATTGATTTGCCAGACTCTGTTCCTGTCACATAAACTCCTCTTATTTCCCAAAATGAATCTGGAAATATATGATAAAGCAGGAAAAAGAACTGAGACTAGATAGGTTGAAAATAAATGGGCTGTTGATTGAGAAGAGAGGGGAGGGGAGGGGAGGGGAGGGGAGAGAAGAGGTCAGATTCTAGGGATACAATCAAGGTGTTAGAGCCTTTAGGAGTTGAAAATAGTGAGAAATAAAGTAAACAGTGGCTTGTGAAACATCCTACAAGGTAAAATTTTCAACTAACTGGCATTTTTATCTTTTTATAGCATAATATTAATAGGTGTTGATAAAGATGATACTGATAATTCAGTTTTAGTGTTAACTGGATATTACTGTAAATTCGCTCTTTAATAGTTATTCTTACAATGTGCATAGTTATTCTGGTAACCAAAATCATTTAAATAAAAGGCCCCATTCCCAAGGAAACCTGACAGTTCATGAAAAGAAATGGTTAGTTAGAATCTAGTTCTATCAACTGAATGGTATTAAAAATAACCTAGTTGAGGGCCTCCCCGGTGGCGCAGCGGTTGAGCACTGGGTTGCGAAGCTGCCCGCGGCCTCTGCGGTGCCGGTTCGATCCCCCGCTGCTCCCCGGCCACCGGAGGAGGGTCCCACATGGCGCGCAGACCTCTCCTGCCGCCCGCTGCTCCCCTCAGCAGTGTACTTCGGTCCTTCTGCCTGCTCTGCTCCCCGCTCTGGCTCTGGTGAATTCTCTCACCCTCCCACGCTTCTGACTGTACCCAGTGCATGTATAAACCAAACAAAACAAATAAAAAAAATAAAAAATAAAAATAACCTAGTTGAAAGGCTGAATCTTTCTGTTTGCCAGTTCAAATTGTTATAAACTCCCAAGATTTTAGGGCTGGAAAGGACCTTAGTCATTACTTAAGCTGATTCCCCCCATTTTCTGGAAAAGAAGTAGGGGCCATACTCTTCCAGCACCCCTGCCCACCCCCAGTCAACATTCACAGGTCAGAGCCCCCAAGGCCGAGCCTCACCTGTACTGCTTGCCGCTCATACAGTGACATCTGCGCTATCTGGGGCCGAGAGCTGCCCCCTGAGCTGGAACTCCCATTGGTGGAGTTGGAGTTCTGCTCACTCTCAGTCTCCATGACAGCTGTCCAGGGTCCCCGAGGGTGGTGCTCAGACTCAAGACCTAGATGGAAGCAGCAAAGGATTAAAATTTACACCTGACCACAGACTGTTACTTCACCGTATTATTCCAGTTATCTAAGCATCATCCTCTTCTTCCATAACCATGATTTCTTGGGGTTTATAACTACCAAACGTGCTATACACTCTTACAGTCATATCTTCCTCACACCATCTTTGAAACTGAGCAATGTCTCAAAAGAAACAAGCTTTAGAGTCCCTCACGGATGTCATTAAATATAAAATGGCTAGTCTGTAAATCAGCACCTCATAAAAACGAAGGCTACTTCACCTTCCCCCAGCACTTTTAACAGTGTAAAAGCCTTCCCATTTTGAAACTTGCTGTTGTCTCACTTTTATTGGCATCTGAAACATTATCAGCATCATCTTAGCAATGGTCACCATTTCCTGAGAGGCCACTAGGTGCCTCCTCTCCCTGGGCTGGGCTCTTCACCTCCAATATATTAATCCCCACTTTACAATTATGGAATTGAGGTTTTTTGAGGTTAAAAAAGTGGACCTGGTAAGTATCAAGTATTTACACAAGCACATGCTTCTTCTTCAAACCTCCCCCAGCCCCAAATCTGTAATAAAGGCAATATCACCCAGTTTGAATACTGTCCTCATTTAGGGAGAAGTTAAGCTATACATCTGTTCAATGCATCATGAAAAGTCATCCAACTAGGAAGAAGAGCTAACCCACAGTCTATAGAGTCCAAAAAGCTGTCTGGTTTCAGCTCTGACTACTAGTAACACTTCAGGCATGTCACTTTCCCTCCTTACCCCTCAAGTTCCCATTGTGAAAGCTTCTCATGGGAATGTAACATCATTTTAACAAATGACTCCCCGGGTATTTAACATATTAAATATACAGCAATGAAACTCTTTAAGAAAGTAAGATTCAACTTTTTAATCTTCTACAGTGGTTGGAATTTCACCACTGGGGGGTGGGGGGGGTCTATGCTTAAATTTGAACGAAGGCTTATGAAAGCATTGCTAAGAACCAAGCAAAATAGGAGATAAACAAGAAGAAAAATGCTTCCAAAGCACCACTACACCATCATAGGGTTTTCTGCTATTTTTCCCTCTCTCTCTTTAACTTTTTTTCCTCCCTCTAGACACTATATTCTCTACTTTTTAAGGCATGGGACCACTAGAAATATAAGGTCTTCAAGCACTATTTGGTTTCGGAATGTCAACATCAAACCAGGATTTCTTCTAAGGATTGTCAACAGTTTTATTAGTGTGGCTTTATCTTAATGATTATATCCAAAACGAACAAATGAAGTAAACAAAGTCAAACTGCTTGGACTTGAAAACAGAGTTGAGATTTCTCATTATGCCTTTCTCAGTGCCTTCTAATCCTATCATCACCCCAAAATTCTACCGGATCTCGAGTTTCATTTCGGAATAGCAAATGTCACAGCAAACATGGATAAAACCCAAGCACAGAGGAGAAATCCTATCTGCTTCAACTCTACTCTATCTTCCCCCCAACCCCCACATCTTTTGCCAAAATATCAAAGCACTAAACAGATACAGACCCATGAATCCTCATTATCAGCATGTGAAGAAAAAAAGCGGGTAAGGATTAGAGGCAGCACTGCTTATTGTAGAGACCGCTGGACTCAGTTCACTGAAGTCATAGACATGAGACCGATTTACTAGCTATGGAAGGGACATTAATTGTATTCTCACAGGTAAAAAACGCGAATACACTGCATGCCCCTCATCTCCCCCAAAGAGAAAGTCTTTTTGTTGTTTTTTCAAACTGTGAAACAGAAATAAAGATAAAATTCAGGTCTTTAATAAAATCTGGGAAAGCTGTCATCAAAACCAGGATTCCTGGATCCCAGGCACATCAATCAATCGTGTAAAATCCAATACAGAAAATGAAGACAACAAAAAGTTTGAGGCACAGAGAACTTAAATTTTCAGGATTCAACTGGAAAAGAAAGGCGAGAAACTGATCCATAAAGGTCCCCAGAATAGCTAAACCTTAGTGACTGGGAAAGGTAGCACTGGGGTGTGTATGAGTTGGGATGAATGAGCACAGACTTCTAGAAGGGAGCTAGAAAGGATATGGAGCTGGTACTGGGTCTACTTGAGCCAACAGTTGGAGGAAATCAACTTCCCCGAGCATAAAATTCTGTCTCGTAGAAAAGGATGGGGCTTGGGAAGTGGTGGGGCGCGAGGAGGAGGTAGTTCGGGGCAGACTGTAGCGAAGAAACACGAGTGATCAGGAGAATAGGAATAGCAGACGCCCAGGGGTCCTTGTTCTCTATAGAACCTCGATGCAATGAGGGTCCAAAGAAGACAGAAGGGGGCAGATCGCCAGGCTGGTGCCGAGAGCGAGCTGCCCCAAAGGAGCAGGGCACTGTGCTGCTGATAGCAGGGGCAGGCGGGCAGGAGGGAGAGCCAGGCAGAAGTCAAGGAATTGGGGGGCTGCAGAACCTAGCGGACCGTGAAAAGCTGGGCGCTAACTAGACAGCATGCTCGGAGGGGAGAACCAAAGTCAGAGGAGGAAAAATGAATGAGCCGGAGAGCAGTCAGTCAGCGGCAACTCGGCTGACGGACAGACAGCGCGAAGCCTGGCGAGGCGAGGAGCGAGAAGACTTGGCCGGGCAGAGCCGGAGGACCGCGGAGCGCAGCGCTGGAGGTAGGCAGGGGAGAGGCTGGGGGAGGTACCTGGGGCGTCACACAGACCGAGGAGGCTGAAGAAACATCCCCGCGCAGCCAAGCCCCCAGAGGTCCTGCCCCTCCCCAGCCCGCCGTCGCCCAGTTACCTTCGCGCCGGGCCCGGCACCCCCGCGCTCCCGGGGGGCGTCCACCTCAGGCGCCGGGGCCCCCGGTCGCCAGGCTGGGCGGGGGGCTCGCTCGGCCTCCGCGGCGGGCTCCCCTCGCCTCCTCCCCTTCCTGGAGGGGCGGGGGCGCCGAGGGCGGGGTGGGAGGCGCCCGGCGCGACCGCGGCTCCCCGCCCCTCCCGCCGCTCCGGGTGCGTGCCCGGCCGCGGCGCTGCCAGGCCTCCGGGGCTGGCTCCGGGCCTGTCACTGCCGGCCGGGCCGAGCGGGTGGGGGCGACCGGCCGGGGGCTGCGGGCCGGGCGGGAGGAGGGGGCTGGCGGGGAGGTGCTTCCGGGGCAGCCGGACCCCTCCCCCGTCCCTCCCCCTCCCCTCGCGCCCTCCTCCCCCCCTCCTCCCGCGCGTCCCTCGTTTCCTGCCGGCGCCCGTTGCCATGACGACGCCGCTCCCGGGCCTCTGCGCTCCCGGCCCCGGGGTTGGGTTTTTTCCCTCGCTCGCTCTCTCTTTCTCTTCTTTTTTTCCCCCTTCTTTCTCTCCGACTTCGGCTCGCCGGTGGGAGGGACGAAACTGAGGAAGTGCTGGCCTCTAGTGGGGAACTCCCCTCGCCCGAAGTGGCGAGGGAGATGGGCGAAGAGGGGGAAGTGACGTGAAAAGGGGCAAAAAGAAGGTATTTTCTGGAGCTTCTGGGAATAAGGGATAAAAAGAAAGCATCAAAGGGACCCACAGGCAGAGAGGGAGAGAGAGCAAAGAGCTGAGAGAAACGGTAGACGGAGAAAAGAAAGAACCCCGAGGAGCAGCGAGGGAAGGGAAGAAAAGCAAAATTTGAGGGGCTTGATTGTTTCATCTCCTCACCGCAACTCCAAGAAGGCGGGAAAATACTGCCCAGAAACAGGCAACCCATTAGGCGTGGACATTCATGTCAAAGCAGCAACCTAATAGAACTCGCTTTGAATAACACCACTCCGCTTGTGATTTCAGGGGTGGTGTGCGCTTCTCTGTGTTGTAAACATTCGGGTTTAAACGTTAGAACGACAAGGGGAGAAGCAAGGGTATAAAGAACAATGGGCTGTGTTTGGGAATGCTAAACGCTTCAAGGGGCGGAAGACTTAGTCATTTTATTTGCGATAACACTTCCTAATACATAGTGTTTGAACACTCAGCAAATATGTATAGCGCACCTACTACGTGCCGCCTCCTGTTTTGGAAACTCGGATTATCTCATTGCAGAGAACAAAGATAACTGGCCACAATAACCTTTCCAAGAGGGACTAGGAGACACCTTGTGGATTAATAACTAAGGTTGACACTTTTTTCTGATGTTATCATAGTCATTTTTCTTACCTCGTGGCTTTTCCTAACCTCTGCTCCAGCCAGTTATTTTCTGTCAACCTACTCATCATTCTTTTCCTTTAAGTCAATGCATGATTTGTTTTCAAAGAAAAAAATAGAAGTGTTCTCTTTGTTTATAAATTAGATCCCTTTAGATTTGAGAGAGGAGTGTTTGAACTCCAGGCTCTTAATTTGTGGTAGCCAGATTTATGTCAAAACAAAATCTCTGCCAGGCTTCTAGGAACCAGTCAGACAAGTATGTGAGAAGAGAAACACGGGGCAGCCAAAGGGCCACGAAAGCAAGACCTGAAGTGTGGGGAGGTGAAAAGCTATGTTGCCAGAGTGGATGACAGGTTTTGGCTGAGGATGAATTGAAAACTTTCTGGCAAAGAGAACTAGCGGTGAAAACTCAGTAAAGCATTAGTCATTTAATTGAAACCTAGATTTTTGTAATGTCACAGAAGTTCAAAGCTTTTTCTGAGGGTTAGAATAGATATTGAGCTTAAGCTGAATCTCCTAGCACCAATGAAAAAGTTGTTCCTCTAGATATTTGTCAGATTATATGATGTTCCGGTAAAGATGTATGACTCATGTGCTTCCATGGGAGAATTATCACAGTCTAAACGCCTGTCATCTAGCCCATAGGTCGGGGATCTAGATGCCCTTCATGTGTCTTATAGTCTGTGGAACTTGCATAACTGGAGGGGACATGGCCATGGCAGCCTAACTTTAGAAGCTGAACTACTTCATGTATTAATAGTTGCATTCCACTTCTAAAAAGTGTTACATTTCCTGGGTCACCAACCACCCACATCTATAAGTTACACATTTCAATGATGGTAGGGGACAAAATGATGATGATGTATAAGTTTGTTGAATGTCTGATATAAATCTAGCCTAAGAATACGCTCATAAAGCATGCCTCATTGTTTATTGGCCAGCATTTCATTTTTGCATTTAAAGCCGCCTACCCCATATTTCACAGTATTTCAAGTTCATTTCCCTCCAAGACAGAGCCATCTTCCAAACACATGGGTCTAAGCAATTTCCCAAAGAAAAATTCAGCATAAAGAAACATGTCAACCATAATGTGAAGCATCAGGAAAACCCCCTCTAAGAAAATCCTCTACATACACTGCATCAGTTTTGGAACAGGTACTGAGCTCATCCCCTCTAAAAAGACCAAAACAATTTAATCCCCAGAAAATCCTCAACTAACTTTTCTTTGTGAATTTTTGCGAAACTTTCTATTTTCATTTAATGATTCTGCTGGAATTAGTCTCTTCTTTTTCAAGCCAAATAGTTCTTCTGAAAGGAGGCTAAATCATTTCTTTACATAACACTGAAAGTGATTAGCCTAATAGGTAAAAGAATGCATCCTACCTGGAGTTTGAGAATGGAAGCCCTCCCCCGCAAACATCTAAATAAGGGGAGCTCAGGACTTGAAAAGAAATCACCTGTTGGGCAACAATTAAATCAACTAAAATAGAAAGCAGGCTAATATAATTTTGCTCACTGACTAAGCATTCTTCCAGCTCTGCTTGTAAACCAGCATTGTGCAATGAATTGTGAACGAGCTGCATCTTGGCTGCTAGACCACTGGGAATGGTGGTGCAATGCATTGGGAAGGAAAACTGGTCCTTACCCTAGAGGTGCTCCCATCACTGGAACGTATTGATTTACAAGTAAGCAAGTAAGTAAACAGGTGTGATCACATTTTTATGCAAATTGGATAGGCTGGACTAGGGAGAGAAAAACAGTCCTAAACAAACCACCACCAATTACAAGTTGAAACACCATATACATCTCATGACCATTCTGCCACAATTCTAGGTGCCTCATTAAAATCCAGTTGGGAGAAAATGAAGATTGAGAAGATTTATAGACTTAGATTTCCAAAGCAAATAACAAATGAACCTAAAAATTCCCAAGTCTCGATTTTAAGAGGAAAAAATTGAAGGCTAAAAGATGGCGCAAGGAGTTAAGGCACAGCATCATGAAGCTATCGCAGCTACTGCAGCATGAGTTTGATCCCCCACCAAAGAGCTGACTCACACGGCGCAGCAGACCTCTCCTGTCTTGCCTGCTGCTCCCCTCAGCATTGTATCTCAGTAGATCCTGCCTGTTCTGCTCCCCACTCTGTCTCTGCTTCTGGCCTATACCCCAGCTCTTGTATGCACAAATGAAATAAATCTTTAAAAATATATTTATGTACAATTCATGTAATCCCTGGTGAATAGATGTCCAGTAAATATTAGTTAATTGAGTTAATTTCCTAGATGTTTGTCCATCTCTCAACTGAAAAAATAAATAAGACTATACCCATGATGGTGTTAAGTACACGACACCCACAATATAGCACGTTGGCATTTTGAATATTTAAACTGCAGGAGTCTGACATAATGGCAAAAGGAAAGTCTCTCTGACCTGTTACTGTTATAGGGCATATCGGGGCTGCCCTATAACATTACTTCCCTGAAACGGGTGATAAAGCCCTCGGGTGAGAGGTGTTCCTGAAGAAAAGGAGCATCTATATCACCACAGGCCCTGGCTTGCTCAGTTTCCCCCAGTTAACTAAAACTGCCTCACACTCTTTAAGCCTGTGCTGCTCCACCTTGTCCACTCTTCATCCAACCTCGCATAGAAAGACATCAGTCTTACTGTTTCTGTGGGTCTTCATTTTCTCATGAAAACTCTCATGTCACGTCAAAATGATAGGAAACAAATTTTGTTGAAATATATTTCTAGGCCCACAAACTAAACTACTCCACACAACCAGAAACTGTTTCAGATCAGTGGATCCCCAACTACCAAGCCAGCTCAGGCTGTGGAACTGCTTCCTTGCTCTTTTTTTTATAAGATTTATTTATTTATGCATACAAGAACTGGGGACAGGCCAGAGGTGTAGAGGGTGAGAGGATTCACCAGAGACAGAGTGGGGAACAGAACAGGCAGATTAACTGAAATACACTGCTGAAGGGAGCAGCAGGCGAGACAGAGAGGTCTGCTATGCTACATGAGTAGCTCCCTGGCTGGGGATCTAACTTGTGCTGCAGTGGCTGCTGATAGTTTCATAGGTTGTGTCTTAACCCCTTGCACCACCAGGGAGGCCCCCCTTGTTCTTAATTCTTTATCCTGTAAAACATTCTGCCTTCATTTTGCAGTTCTCCTGACATGTTTGTATCACCTAAATTGTCTTCTCTAAACATTTTTGAAAAAGAAATTGTGTGCTTTTTCCTGATAATTGTCCATGCCACTTTAATTTTCAGACGCAGTCAGGGACCCTGAGGGGGCTGAGGAACACTTTTCCCTCTGTGGTACCCACCAACTCCTTTTCTTTAGAAGTTTAAAATTATCATATTGACTAGTTCAGCTCAATATTCATCGTTGCCCTCAAAAGAAACAGATAAACCCCACATTCTTAAGTTGCATAGGCTGAGAAGCAAAGACTTTACCAGTTTAGAGAGTTACCATGTGTTATGCCAGCAAGGCACAGAGTAGGTTCTCTATGGATCTGGGCAGATGAGTAAAG